TGTTCCTTCCCGATGAGTGCCTGGAAACCTCACTCCTCACCACAGTCACAGTGAGGATCACATCTGTCATTATAGACACAGAGCTGTAATTCTGGATGGCATTCTTGACCAAAGACTCCAAGCAAGTAAATGGCAGATGTGACCCACAACGCAGTGTGGAAGTGGACAGTTATAAATCTCCAATTAGTAAAACGAGGCTCAAGTTCTATGATTTCAACACAAATGTACAAATGTATACTTGGAAGCCCTTCTGTGACATGAAGGACCTGCATGTCCAAATTCTGTTGTAGTCAATCAACCTATATAAAAGAAAAATATTGGTTTTAAAACAATTTAACATTTAATTGCTGGCCTTCTTAGGATTTAAAAGACTTTTGGACAGATAAGGTTCTTAAGAAATAAAAGACAAGTTAAAACTGATGTTCATCCTTCTCCTTCAATAAATTTCCCTTTAGCTAACATAAGTATTAAAAAGTTTTTAGAGTTTTTAAACTCATGGTGGGCAGGGGCCATTCCTGACATGAACTGGACAAATTATATAGTGTCCAAAGTACCTGAGCATAATATAGGAGAGAGGAAGTGGCGGCCGGTGTCTTCCAATCATGCAGGCTCTCAGTGCTCTAAGTTGCCCCACAGAGTACCTACCTGTCACTAACCTGAAAAAACTGGGCTTCTACTGATGCTTCCTCTGTGAATGGCTGACTTCACTGGTGCCCGCTGTTTTCATTACAAGCTCTTCATCAAAAGAAATACTCTAATACATATGTTTATTAAGTTTCATTTTTTCTAGAGATCTTTTTTTTTTTTTAAATGTACTCACATTTTATGTCCTTAGGTGCCTTTAAGAAACCCAGCAGGTCTTCAGTTAAATAAACAAACCAATAGGCTGAAAAGCTATGTCAGAATGGGTAAAATTAGCAGGTTAATAAATCTAGTCACTTAAGAATTTCAGCCTTGACAAAAATACTCCAGTAAGAGATAAATTAAAATACTCTAGCCTAAGGAAGCCCTCGACCAATGACTCAGTTCAAATACACTGAAATATCTATTCTCGATCAGATCTTCCTCGGCCCTGCAGGAATTTGGATTAATCATCCTTTAGGCTCTATCCTGGGTCAGGAGGGAAGGCTTTCATTGCCTTGTTAACAATTGAGGATTTTCTTTCCTCGAGCGGGGCGAGAAGGAAAGAAGGAATATTTGATGAAAGACTCTGAGGAGTTAATTTGTGGGTTTCCTGTATACTCCAATGAGCATGGAGCCCCCAAGTACCTGAGGAGGTAGAGGAAATGCCCATTGCACAGCTGGGGAGACTCACCAACCTCAGTTTGCTGTTTCATTCATTCACTGAACACACGTTTACATGGCAGGCCCTGTTCTAAGGGCAATAATGGATAAGACATGGTCTCCACCTGCAGGGATCTTACAGTCTGGATTAGACAATTAGACAATTAAACAAGGAATTAGAGTTAAATTTCATAGATTATAATGTTTTTTTCCTGCCTCTATCTCTGAACTCCTCTACCACTTGGCCACCCACTCACTGCTCCAGCTACTGGCCGTCTCACTGTTCCTTGAACGAGCTGATTTGTTCCTGACACAGGGCCTTTGCACTTGCTGTACCACCTGCCTGGAGCACTCTTTCTCCAGTTCACTCTAGTCTCTTCCTAAAAGCCACCTCTTCGTAGAGGTTTCTTCCATCACCCAACTAAAAAAGGACCCCTTCCACCCTCCTAGTCTCATTCTCTTAATAGCACTTGTTAGTGTTTGATTAAACCAGATGTTGATTATTGCCCATCTCCCCATCGGAATGTAAACACCATGAAGGCAGAGCTTGTTTGCCTTGTTCACGGCAGCCTCTCCAGAACAATGCACAAAGTAGACGCACAATAAAGATTTCTTGATAAATAAGCACAATGATAGGGGAGGTATAGCTGGTAAGAGAACTCATTCTGAGGTGCTTAGGGAAGGCTTCCAACAGGAAGTGACGTTTGTGGGAGGGAATTAGCTAGATTTTGTGGGAGAGGGGTACAGAGGAGAGGAAGCAGGGAAAAGTGGCTGAAGAAATCATGACAGAATGCTGGGCCAGCAACTTCCGGATGATTGCAAAACCTTGGCAAAAGGCTAAGGAGGTGAGAGAGAGTCCCCACGTCTGGTCTTCACCAAAGTATCTGCTGAACTCTCCCACAGAGCTTGACTCCAACAGAGCTGCCCTCAGAAACAGCTCTGCCCTGGAACCCAGACAATCCAGGGAGATGCTTTGCTGAATGGCGCCCTCTTGTGGCCAGAACCTCTAGAATGAGGTGCCAGAGACCATGCTTTACTGCCTGGCCCAACAACTCCTTTCTCTAATCCTCTGTCGGATTCTCTCTTCCTCCTTCCAAAACAGACAGACGACCACCCACTTTGGTAAGTTGATCCTTTGGCAAGATGGCTCCTTAGACTTGGCATTTTAAACTTTTATCTGGTTTAAAGGTTGGGGCTCCGTTGGACTAACATCATAACAGCACGCACTGAGCACTTCCTATGTTCTGGGGACATTATGAGTATGCATTCATTTAACCTTCACAGTACTGGGGGTGATTGTTAGTGTGCCTATTTCACAGAAGAGGAAGGTGAGGCCTAGAGAGCTGATTAGCAGTCCAGGTCGCAGGATTCATACCCAGACAGTTGGCTCCACATCCGTGCTCCAACAGTGGCCCAGAGCCACACTGAGAGCAACAAAAAGGCCAAGCCTAGGCAGCTAAGGGAGAGGCCAGAACAGTGTCTGGCACAGTAGGGAACAACAGCCTCCACTGCAGCCATCTCCCACCCTCTTAAGTGGCCCCCAGAGGATCTGGAGCCAAAGGAGCTGCCAATAAAGTAAGAAAAACTCCAGTTTGTGGAGGGAGGATGGTGCAGGATAGAAATTTGAGCTTCCCAAGTGCCTTGGGGCACAGAGCCAGAGGTGTCACTGTGCCAGGCTCGGCAGGCCCCAATCCTGTGCAGACAGCCCAATGCGGCCAGCCTGAGCACGTGGCTGTGTCTGTCGGCCTCCTTCACCATTTATGGTATCTGAGCCTCTGTTTGGCCTTCACAGGCGAGTAAATCCCCGCACGGGGAGGGGGTTCACAATCACACAGAACTGCTCTCAGAGAAAGTCCAAATGGCCCTGGCAGAGTTCTTGCTGGGGACCACTGTTTCTGCTTTAAAATACACTTGGATGGATGATCAGGCAGGCCCCACTCCTCCCACAGACCTGAGGCAAGAAAGATGGCCACAAAGACTTCTCGATCCTTCATCTGGGGACCCCCCACCTCCAGCAGGACTATTAGCTCAGCTGGGTCTCTCTAATCCAATCTTAACACAGGCAACCTGGGACAGGCTCTGGATTAGCTGGACTATTGGCTGAGGCTAGCGAGGGAGAACTTTGGATGACACACACATCGCATGCCACTCTGGCTCTCTCTGCCATTACTAGACTTTGGGGTAGGCCACTTGAGCCTCCAAGAAGAGTCCCTTGGTGGGAAGAGGAAGCTGCTCTCCTGGCCCAAGAAGACGAGGCTCAGATCTGGTCTTATTTCCTCTTAAGTCTCATCACCACAATTTTCCTAGGCTGCTCAGTGAGCCATGAAATGAAATCTGTGAGGATAAAGGGGATAAATGTGTAAGCCAAATTGCTGACTGACAAATTCCCCAGAGGCCAGAGACAGGCTCTGACCAGAGTTTGGAGGATCTCCTAAAAGAAGGGGAGGTCAGGTCATGGGTGAAAACTCCATGCCGAGGCACCTCGGGGAAATTAGACGGGCCAGGCTGTTTGCCCCGTCTTGGCAGACAGCCTCACAGAGCCAGCATCGGCCACATCGTTGGTCATTGCCAGTTTCTTTATCCCTAAGGGGCTGAAACTGCCAAGTCACAGGAGCCTCCCGCTTTGGGCCAGGGGACACACACTCCATAAAGGGCAGGCACAGAAAAGGGCACAGGCTTAGAGTCATGAAAATCTGGGTTTGAAAGGCCACCATGACTTACTAGCTTGGTGCACTTAAGCGAGTCATGTTAACTTCTTGAGATCTCCAGAACTCTCTGCGTAAAATAGGGAGAGACCCCCACCCCTACTCCCGCAGAGCTGTTGCGGTCCAGATGAGAAAACACAAGTGAGGTGGAAGTATTTAACACAGTAACCAGCACATGATTTCTCCTTTGCCCTTTTCTGTGAAACTGTCTCCTATGATCTTCCAGAAGGCGGCTGCTCACGTTATAGGGAACCTCTCTCTGGAGGCCTGAGCCCTGCGGGACAGAGTGAGGAGACATGGTCTCCTGCTAGTCTGCTGAGAAAGCAGAGGACAGTGCACCCAGTCCCATACCCAGGTCCCAGCCACACACAGGAGTTGGGGCCCAGGCCTGGGGTGAGTGTGGGGAGTCAGGCTTACCTGAACGCCCTGGACTCAAGAAGCATTGCTACCACCATGGATACCACAGCCCAGACAGCTCTGTCTTGAGTCCTGTGGCTGCCCCGTGACTTCCGGGGACTAAGCGCTTGGTGGGGATCAATGGATGACCATGATAATCTGATTACTGGACACCAGGCTGGTGATGTATAAAAACAAGCCTGGGGTGGTGGGGAGGAGGAGGGGCAGGAAGAAAAAGAGGATAGACTGTGACCCTCTAGAACCCTCAATGTTGGCACTCTGTTACCCAGTGTCCCCCAGTACGTGAGGGGTCACTGTGAGAACCCTAAGTCCTAAGGAGATAGGGATACTCCTCTGAGGTCCTCTTTCAGTGTGTGCGGTTTTCTTCCTATCAGACCAGGAGCTTCTTGAGCCAAGGGAGTCTTTGCCTCTTTCCCCTGCATCTTCTCTCAGTCCCAGTGGGTGGGGCGAGGGGGGTGGGAACTAGCTTTTGCATGTCCATCTCCCATGGAAGACCCTCATCACCGTGAACAACAGGAGGCCATCTCCTTCTCCTGCCTGCCTTTGGGTACAGTGCCTTTTCACCAAAGCAGATGTGTTCGCAAAGGCTCCTACCGTGGACAGTGACCCGGGCGCTGCAGGACACCTGCCCTAAGGTGTTCTCAGCCAGACAGGTGTAGATGCCATCGTCTTCGGGCAGGGCATCCTGGATGTGGAGCTCTGCCATGCCAGCTGCGCAGGTAGAGTGAGCGTACTGGATGGGCTGCTCTGTGGAGGGAAGCACAGCGAAACTCAGGCTAGCTGTTGTCATGACACTCGTGCTCACCATGACCACTCTGATCCATTGAGGGCTAATGATGTGTCAGGCCCATATCAGAGGCAAGTGAGTGGCGAAAGAGGCAAGTACTAGGGAGATGAAGGAGAATGATTGTGTAGGGTGAAGTGAGATGGCTGAAAAAACTGGGCGAAGAGGTTCTGGAGGCATTTAGGATGCGGGAGGGAAAGGGATATAGTTCTGTGAATTATTTAAATAAGTAGTCCTCAAATCCACATCCTGGACTTCACAGAATTCTGAGCCTGGAAAGAATCTCACAGGGCCATTTGGCCCATAGCCCAGCCTCAGGCAGAACAGACTTCGTCCAGACTGAACAGGAGGCTCCTGGCTCCTTTTAGAAGTCTCCAGAAACAACGATTGCATTTCCCACTGCAGATATTTATCAGAACCCTCAACCTAATACTGCAATTAGGTGCATTTTAGAGTTCACAAAAAAAGATAAATATGGGAAACTAAGAAGGACTCTTCCCAGATTATCTTCCACAAGAGTCCTTTTATTCAGGTCACATCAGGTTCTGCATGGAGGTAGAAGTACATGCTATGAACTTCAGTGTCTTCCTTAATGTTATACATTCCTGAGAATTTATCATTCCAGGATGTGAGCTTTCATTTCCAGGAAAAAAAAAAAAAAAAAACTCTCATTACTGAAGATTCTGGCCTTAGAGCAGGAACGTGTCTGTTCACCATATAGGAAGCAACTGTCAGTTTCTTCCTTTGTCAGGCCCCAGAGTCCTGGTTTGCACTTCATAAAATTGGGGGTGGGCAGTGGGGATGGGAGAAAGTACAGAGAGAAGTCCTCTCCCTGCAATGCAGTGTTTTCTTCTGCACATAGCAACACTTCATGTCTCCAGGACAGTCTGGCAGAGGCTGCCAAGCATGCCATAGGGCCCGAGGGAAGAGATTCTGCCCGACGTATTGCACTTCATAAAAGGGGGCTGGGGACTGAAAAAGGCAGGGCCGGGATCCTGCTACTGAGAAGATTGAACGCCACTCTTTGTTTTTATTTTTTTTTCTGAAAATGACACCCTAGAACCAATCTTCCTTGAGAATACCAGTACATCCCACGACTGCTATCAAAGTGCCTCAGCTGTCAAAACATGTACCAACAAACTGTTTGAGAGCTCTAATTTTACTGGAGCATAAATCATCGTGGCCTCACAAGCATGGGATGAAATGGTGGCCCCCCGAAAAAGTTCAGGGCACTCAGAACTGGGAGCCACAGAACTCTCCCAGCTCCTAGAAGGTTAAGACCAGACAGAGTTAGCGGCCAAGGGAACCCAACTTGAGCACAATCGCCCTCTAGTGGTAAGGGGATGGAAATGCCAAGCTTCAACGAGAATAAGAAGGAGGGGTGGGAGGGTGGTTGTTTTTCAATCCTGGGTGGTGTAGACCAGAGTCAGCAAACTACTGTTTGTGGGCCAAATCCAACCTGCAGCCTGTTTTTGAACAGCCTGAAAGCTAAGAATAGTTTTAAAATATTTTAAATGGCGGAAAAAAATCAAAGGAAGAATTATTTCATGACGTGAAAATTGTATGAAATTCACACTGCTGTGTCCATAAATAAAGTTTTATTGCAACGTAGCCACGCTCCTTCATTTACGTATTGTCTCTGGCTGCTTTTGTGCTACAACAGCAGAGCTGAGCAGTTGTGACAGAGACTATGGCAAAACTGAAAATATTATCTGACCCTTTATAGAAAATTTTTCTTGACCCCAGGCTTGGACTCTGAGCCAGATAGAAGTGAAATGCTCTTATTCAGATCTATCACTAGCTCTTAACATCATGTTCTGTTCCAACCACAGGGAGGCTGCCTCTTTGCAGTTGGTTATAGGATCCAACAGAAGTTCTGTCCTTAGTGAGGGGTAGAGGGAAGGGAGACTCAATTCTCACTTATCTACCCAAGAAGATGACCCATAGGAAGACTCCATGGCACCATCTCTAACTAAGATAGTTTGTACCAAAGCCTAACAAACTATCCCAACAAGGAAGCTTCACAGGCAACACATCGATGGGACAGAAAGAGCAGGGGCTACTTCGTGCATAGGCGACGAGTGCTGCTGCCCCCTTAAGGGGCCTATTCTGTAAGTTGTGAGAGCTGACCAAGCCCCAAACCTTCTGTCCCAGCCCACTTCCTCACCAATAAAGAAGCCAGCACCCACAGAAGCGGTGGGGTGTCCAACACCACCCAACCCCTCAACGGCAGAGAGGGACAAGTGCCCTTGTCTCCTGACTCTTGGCAAGTGTTCCTTCATCCTCCTTGTTGATCCTCAAAGCAGATTTCATTAATTGTATGGATTGTTATCAATTTTAAAATTAGAGTTCTCCCATACTTTTAGAATTTAAAGGTCTTTTAAAAAAGTGAAGGGTGATAAAATATAATTTTTTCAAAGGATCTTACTTGGCAAAGAAAAGAAGTTGGCATGTCTCCATAAGAATATAACATTAAAAAGAATTAATGGTCTGTGAACCCAAAAGCCACCTGCCACTAAATAAAAGATGGGCTCCTTTGGGCAACTTCTAGTGTGGTTTGTTAATTTGGTGGTTTATTTATTCATTCATTGACTCAACAATTATTTATTGAGGGCCTATTTTGAATCTGGCCATACAAAAAGGAACTAAGTCACTTGTGCACCTATGTGCCAAGAACTTCGTAAAATGTTTTATATAAAAGATCTAATTTAATTTTCACAACCCCTACTTTGGAAAGTAGGTGGTATTATTCCTGTCTTGCAAGCAAGGAGCTCAAGGCTCAGACAGGAGTAGTAACTTGCCCAGTGTCCCCAGGCAGGCAAGAGCAGACTCCCAGCTCCCATTATCTCTCTGTACCCTGTGCTGCCTTCTTAGGCATACGTGGTTGAGAGTAATAAATGGGGAAGTCAGGTGAGAATACAGGACTGGGGCAGGGGATCAGGGTAGAGTGCTGAGCCAGGGGGGACTCACCATTGAGCAGCCAAGTAATTTGGGGTGCTGGGGTTCCCAGCACAGAGCATTGTAGCACAAAGTCCTGGCCTTCAATGACGCTACAGTCCTTTAGGACACTGGAGAATGAGGGGGCCACCTCCATCCTAGCCAGTCCTGTGAATACAGAGAACAGAGAAGCCATCTCAGATCACAGCTGGCCCACTCTGGTGACTGACTGCAGTTACCCCAAGTCTTGCAGGCGGATGCCTCACTGCCTTTGGCACCCAGGGCCTTCTTGGTTGCCTGGCTTTGCCTTATCTTGGTTCATACCTGGAAGGAGAACACGTCCAGTGTAGAGACCTGGAGCCTGAGACAGAGGAACTGGAAGGGGTTTTTTTACTGTCACAAAATGCCCCAGGTCTGGGAGTGTGCTGGGCCTGGGCCTGCCTTCTCTCCCCTGGGACTCAGGTACCTCCTGTCTTGTCTTGGTTTTTGCTACCCTGGAGCATCCTCAGAGCTCCTTCTTCCTGCCTTTCTTGGTCCTACTCTACTTCCCACTGTCTCTTATCTTCTTTATGTCCCATTGGTGACTGCACGGTCTTGTGAATATTTTTTTACATATACAGACCACATGCACACTGGTGAGAACGTTTCAATTTTAAATTATTATAATTAGTTTTTCCAATTCCAGGACTGAATCAAATGACAAAGACTCATGTGTGTTCTAGTCTTCCAACCTAGGCCATGTGTGTTCTAGACTCATGTGTGTTCTAGTCTTCCAACCTAGGTTTGGAACTGCTGGACGCCTGGGACTATGCGTTACCAAGTTACCTCATGATGTTGATGAACAGCCTCAGTGAGAACCACCCAGCTGAGCTTTCCAGAAGGCTTCTACATCGATGAATGGAGGAGTATTTTGTAGTTTGGGGATCTTAATTAAGAGCAATAGGGATAGACAATCTCTTCTAACAACTAGAATATGCTACAGAAATGTCAAGGTGGCTGATGGCTGAGAAAAGGTGGCTGGACTTGGTGACTAGAGACCTCTCACCTGTGCTTTTCGAGAGAAGCTATACAATACAGTGATAAAGGGCAAACCATATTATCTTTCAGGGTTTTAAGGGCAAAAAGTAATATTTGAGGGCTTATTACATGCCAGTACTTTTTCAGACGTGACTGAGACAATACCATGAATTTGCTATCTTTGGCTCATTTTACAAAGTTAATAGTTTCCCATAGTCAAGCCCAATGGTGAAGCCATGCTTTATGCCCAGCTGATCTATGTCCACACTTCCTCCTCTAGACAAGAAATCCCCTAAGGAGAGAGCAGCTACAGAGGAGAATAATGGTGCATCTGAAAGAGACTGACACTCAGGGAGGGATGGACAGATTACCTGGAGTGGTGTGGAGAGGCACAATCTCTACCTTTTCCTCCTGCCAGAGTCAAATTCTCTCATTAGAAAAATACCTTTGGGAGTCATTGAAAAGAATATGGGCTTTCATGTCAGACCACATGAGTTAGAAATAGGCTATCTTGCTCATGGCCATGCCACCCTGAACGTGCCCAATCTCGTCTGATCTTGGGAGCGAAGGAGGGTTGGGCCTGGTTAGTACTTGGATGGGATTCCACCTAGGAATACCAGGTGCTGTAGGCATTTAAAAAAAAAAAAAGAAGAAATAGGCTATCTTTTACAAAGCATGGGCAAGTCTCTTAACCTCACTACAGGCCAGCATTCTCATCTGGAAAGTGGTTGAAACTATAATTATCTGCTAAGATTGTTGGGATAACTAAATGGGACAATGCACGTAAAGCATTGGCGAAAAGCCAGCACATTAAACAGGCTTTTGGTGGAATGTTAGCTGTTATTATGAAACGGAAGCTGTGCATAGACACTATACTTGGCAGCAAGTTTGGGGGTCAAAGAGAATGCAGAGATACAGTAGGAGCTAAAGGAAGGTATCTTTTCATCTGTTGAGCAGAAGGAAGATTTTCTTTCCTTTGTCAGCATGGGGAAGATCAGGGCATGCTGGTAGGGAGAAGAAAGAGACCTCTAGATAAAGGGAGGGAGAGAGTTAGTGGTGGGAAAGTAAATCAGTATTAGTTACAATCTTTGTGAAGATGGGAAGAGATGGAGAGAAAAGTCTCGGTAAGAGAAACAGCTTTTCTGCAGTAATAAGAAAAGAGAGAGACAGAGGGTGTGGCAGGAGAAGCTAAAAGAACACAAGTCGGATGACCTGCATCTTGGTGACACTGTCTGGAGAAGTTTTAGAACAGCTAGTGTCTCCAAGAAGAAAGGGAGTCAAGAAACATTTCTGGAATGGCAGAGCAAGGACTTCTGAAAATCTCCTCCTCCATACAAGCAATAAGAACGCTGGCAACAACTCAAAATCAACTTTTTCAGAACTCTGGAAATAAGCCAAAGGCTTGCAATATTCTGAGGAGCATTCATTCAAAAACACTCAAACAGCTGAATCTCGGTAAGAAAAGCAAGTTTTGCAGCATACTCAATTCCCATTCCTCTCACCCCAGCTCTCTGGTAGCTTTAAAAATCAACATTCTCTTTTGCCCCCAACCCGCTGCAAGTATAGTCTCTCTGCACGGCTTCCATTTCATAATAATAGCTAACACTTCAACGAAAGCCTGTTGGTTTTTAACCTTTGGTGGACATCATGCCATGTGTCCGTCCCTGCCCAGACAGAGAGCCCCATATGATGAGGCTCAGACTCCTGGACCTGTGAACTCTGCCTATGGGCACTCCCACTTCCAAATGGAATGGATAATATTCCTTGCAAAGGAATTCATGAACAAAGTAAAAATCCCAATTAGGAGGTTCATCAATGATATGCAATGAAAAGTAAGACTATTGCCACTCCTTTCTGTGGACCCCCAGTTTCCCTTTGTAGAGGCAACTTGTAGACCCTTCCAGAAATGTTTTAGGTACACACAAGCATTTGTTTGCATACATGTACACAGATTTTTTTTTCCTTTTATACAAACAGCATGGGATACACATGGCTCTGCACTTGCCTCTTCTCCTTTACTAACATATCTTAGACATGTGTCATCATTTGAGTCTACGCGTTGGCCACATTTGTTTCCTGGATGTATGGTGTCCTACTCTATGGATAAACCACCAAGTTCTATTCTTTTCCTTTTTTTTTTCTCTCTAAATGTTTATTATGGCAAATTTCAAACATACACAAAAGTAGGTATAGTTAATCATCATATACCCGTTTTTCAACTTTAATAATTATCAATTCTTTATACCCTTACTGGCTCCCACCACATAATGGATTATTTCTGAAGCAAATATCAGAAATCATATTTAATCCAGTAAATAAAATAATATTTATCTCTAAAATATATGGAATTAAAAAAAAATAACTACAAGACCACCATCGCATCTTAAAAATAGCACTATAGTCGGCCCGTCTGTATCTGCAGGTTCCCCATTTACAGATTCAGCCAACCAGGGATTGAAAATATTGCAAAAAAATGTTGAGTTGTTGCTGATGTGTACTACGTAGTTAGGCTGACAATGGATGGATGGTTGTGTGTGTATTGAATATGTACAGGTTTTTTTTTCTTGTCATTGCTTCCTAAATAATATAGTATGACAATTATTTACATAGCATTTACATTGTATTAAGTAGCATAAGTAATCTGTGATTTAAAGTACACGAGATGATGTGTATAGGTTATATACAAATACTACACCATTTTAAAGAAGGAACTTTAGCGTCCTTGGATCTTAGTATCCAAAAAGAGTCTTGGAACCATCCCTTGCAGATACCAAGGGTTGACTATGATTCCTTTATATCAAATATCTTGTCAGTGTGCAAATTTTCCTGCTGTTCTCATACAGAATTTTTAAAGGTGTCTCAATCAAGATCCACACAAAGTCCATACATTGCCATTATTTATGCCTCTTATGTATCTTTTCATCTAAGTTTCCTATAAGTTGCCCCTCCTTTCTTTTTGCTTGCAATTTATTTGTTGAAAAAATAGGCGAAGGTTATTTGTTCCAGAGTTTCCAACAGTCCGAAATTTGCTGGCTCTATCCCTGTATTAATATGTTCCTCAATAGTATGGTATGGGTCTCGGGTCTCTAAAAAGCATTTAACGAGGGGGGAATTTTATAGAGAGATAGATGGGTACAAAAATATTTATCATAGTTTTGTTTCAACAGTGAAAAAATGGGAACAATCTAAATATTAATAAGTGCATGCCTAAATTGAGATACATTTGCTATGAAACATTATATGGACATGAAAAACTATGTTTTCAAATATTAAATATATAGAAAGATGCTTATGTAACATAAACAAATTAGAATAGAAAGCAGTATACAAACGGCACAATGCTGATTTTGTTTTAAAAACATTAAAATATCATTTATTTCTGAGTCATAAGATCACATATTGTTTAAATTCCCCACAATGAACACACATTACTTTTATAAACAGATATTACAATAAACATAAAAGATGCGGGATCCCACATCATCTCATATTACTGTAAACGTGTATATTTAGTGAACGTTTGGTTCCCTATGCTTATTAAAAGTGAGTCATGGCACTACTTGGACAGCTGAGGAACCTAAAAAAGGTAGCTCTCAGATGGGCTGGGCATGGGGCCTGGGCATGTTTATTTTGAGAGGATTCTCATATGAACTCCTGATCAGGAATCACTGTCCTGGAGCAATGAATTTGGCCTTGGCATACATGTGGGGACAACGTTTATGATGCGTTGTATACCCTAGGTGAGGGCTGTGGGAAATGACCTTGCACAGTATATGAAACCCCCCATGAACGGTCCTCCCCCAGAGAAACCAGGGTGACCAGGAGGAATGTACTCACTTTTCACGAGGAGGGTCCAGTCACAGGACACCTGGCCTCGGACATTGGAGGCTATGCAGCTGTAGTTCCCACTGTCTCTCGCCCGGGCTCGCAGCAAGCAGAGGTAATGGGACCCGCCATCTTCATAAATCTCAATGGTGCCTTCTCGTCTCCTCACGGGAGCACCTTCCAGGAACCAGGTCACTTGGGGCTTTGGGATCCCTGAAACTACAGGGCCAGGTGAAGGCTGTGAGGCCCCCGGAGAGCACACCGAGCTTGCGGGGGTGGGGTGGGGACCTGAACCCAAGGGAAGAGGTGAGTCTGGTATACCACTGCCCTGGTACTGTGAGTCTGCTTTCTTACTCCTTAACCCCCCACCACACAAGAGTAAACATCCCAAGACAGAGGCAGAGTCCCTGGGGAGAAGGGATACACGGGGACAGCCAGTTCTCCAGGTAAGCCAAAGTTAGCAGAAGGGAGGAAAGAGGAGGAGACCCCATGGCTCGTTTTTGATGGTGATGGTGATGATCAACTTCCCCCTCTAGGGTGGTGAGAATTAAGGCTAAGGGTTGATGCTGGATCCAACAATGAGCAACTGGCCACTGTTGGGTGTTTCTTGGAACAAGGGACATTACTAGACAGTCTTTCCTGAGGGAAGACCCCTATAAGGTGGCTTCTGCGGTGGAGGGTGTCCAAGGGGATGGGTGGATACGAGGCTCAAACCGCTGTGCTGAAGGAAGGAAGTGGCCCAGAAGCTACCTTGTGGGGGCCGGTGACCTTAGTTAGCTCTACTCACCCTCACACCTGAACTTGACTGTTTGATCCTCACGGACTTCCTGGCTTTGGGGCTTGCTCTCAAATTTGGGGAATGTTGAATCCCTTTGGCTCTCCATGGGGATTTTCCTGGTAGCAACCTTGCTCACAACTTCTTGGCTTCTCAGGCCAGACTGCCTTGTGGGAAGGGTGGCTGGAGGGGGAGCAGCTGGCTTCTCCCTCTTTTCTCCAGGAGAGAAAGGCCCCGAGACTGGTGCTCTTGGTTCCGGCTGGACTTTTGTGGCCTGCAGGGTGATGGTGCTGGAAGTCTTCTGCAGGACGGGGGTCCTCAGGGCCTTTCGAGATGAGTCCTCGAACAGATCCAGCTTGGATTCCCTCAGGGGCTGAGGCTGGGTACTTGTGGCCCAGGTCGGGGAGCCGCCTCTCTGGGTGCTGGAGCAGTTCTTACTTTCAGCTATAGTCTCCAGGCTGTCCATTTTTGGCTCCTGTGCAATTCCGTTGGTCACCTCCTTTCTGATATCTGAATTGGCTGCCTTTGTTCCCCTCACAAACGACCTGTTTGGTGGTGGTAGGGAGGACAGTGGGGAAGGAGAAGGAGGAATAGAATGATCATCCAGTTACTCACAAGCATTACTCACCACAAGCACAGATTCCAGGGATCGCAAAAGCCCACAAGTTAACAGAGTATGAGCAAAAGTCTTTCCATGCAGTTTTCTCAGTTTCCAGAGCCAGAAGACAAGCAGCAATTCTTGACACTTCCTTAACCCCTAATCCAGCGCCTATTCTATCTACATTCATTCAATCTGCCTTTTTTTTCCTTCCCCACGAGTGTCATCCTAGTTCAAACCACATGACCAGTTTTCCTTGCCCTCTCCATTCCATGTTCTACACAGCAAGCGTAGTCGGTCTTTTAAAAACAAAAATTGCATCGTCATTTCAAGCTTAAAGATTTTCCAACAGCTTTTCCACTATTATATTAAGAATAAAACTGAGTTTCTCAAGGTGGCCTGCAAGGATGGCCCTATGCGTGTGGGCTCAGGCTGCCTCCTTGGCTCTCACACGGCACCATCTCCATTGCCCACCAGGCTGCAGACACATGGGCGTTCCTTCAGGTCTCCCTAATGCCCACTTCTCACCTCACCACTTTCAGATGAAGTTTTCAGGAAGGGTGTCTCTGACTGTCTAATCTAAAATGAGCACTTCGTTGTTAGTCCTCAGAGAAGCATCGCAGTTTATAATTATGTATCTGTTTAAAGCCCTGCTGGACACTAGATGTCTGCTCACCCTGCACACCTAGTGTTCTGCACTGAGCCTCACATACAGGGAAGGAAGCTCCTGAGGAAGACTAGATGAGCGAGCGGATTCTGTCCTGGGACATGGAAGGCATTCTCTTCAGAGCAGAGTGTCCTTCCTAACGACGCTGACTAATAAAGATACTGAGCAGATACAGAGGGAGACAATGGCATTGAGTCTTCAAGAGTCTCAATGCTGATGGCAAGCCTGATATAGAACCTGGATAGCATGTTACAATGGGAGAACAAAACAAAACGCCCGAAATAAAGCAACACCTCCCAAACGGTCAATTTTCCCTCCCCATGTGATCACTTAGAAATTCAGGGTGTTTCTTGATTACCATTCCTCTTTTCTTACAGGTCATTTCAAGATGGAAACATAATAATCACAAAGCCTAGACATACCTATTGGCATTGTCCAAACCTGGAAAAAAGGAGAGGGTAGAAAGACTATTAGTGGAATATTTTATACACCAAGAGGAGAAAGTGATAGACAATCTCTTTCATTTATTATAGAGTTTTTTTACTTTCTAAGCTCTGACTTTCTCACCTATGGTCCCACCTCCCTCACTCCTTCCTGCTTCCCTGGTCCTGAACTTCTTAGTTTAATCTGATAAACTCCTCTGAGCCCCAGAGACACTGTCAACACTTCCACTGCTGTCCTGGCCCCTTTATGGTGGCTTCTGCTACAATATGCTGTGACATGGCACTTGTCCTTTTCACTAGCCCACAGAAGGAAACAAAAAGCAGTCGGACAAACAAAAATATAAATAAATATCTACTGAAAATTTCAAACCCAAACAGCTTAAGTTACGTGTGGCCCTCAAAAGCAATCCCACAAAGTGATTGTTTTTGACAAATACCTGCTTTAAACATGTACAGAAAAAGTGTAATTTTATTTGGTTCTTCAAAGAAAAAACATGCAACATGTATTTTTTCCTGTCACATTATATATATTTTTAAATATCATCATGGAAAATTGCAAAAAAATAAATAGTAGAGAGAAAGATATAACAAAACCTGAAAGCCCTCGCCCAGATTAAGAAAACATCAATATTTTGCCAGTCTTATCTATCTCTTTTTATTATTTTTTATTTATTTTGAAAGGACCTTTATTTTTTATTTATTTTTAAAGGCACCACAGCATTTTGTCATTGAGCACTTCAGAAGGGAACAGGTCTTTAATTCAATGCTAGGGCAAGTAAAGGGACAGTGGCTAAAACACGAGGCTCAATGCTAAACAGCAGGTCGTGATCCTGTTGTGAGTTATAAAAGCAAATTCTTTGGTTGGGACCAGGGTTTTTTCCCCCTTAATGATGTAGAATGGAACAGAAAATATCAGTATGTACTGTATATGGTACAACTCAGGAGTGTTTCATGTAACTGTTTCAGTTAAATATGTTTATGTATAGATATGTGTCCCAGGTGGTAATGTAGAATAATTTCTTTCTGGGGGTTGTGAAAACATGGGCCAAAAATGGTAAACAGAGCAATGAGGAAGAGTTTCTGAGAAAGGAAGGAGATATGGAAGAGAAAAATCATGGAAGAAAAGAGGATAAGAAAGGAAGAGGAGAGAGTGAAGGACGTTTCCCTCTCTGACCCCTCCATTTCCCACCTTGCTCAAGGTTCCACACACTCTGGCTTTCCCTGGCAGGACTTGGCGGAACCAGGGCGAATGAACGGAGGAGATATAGTCAAAGATACTTCAGAGGAAGAACTGACAGTTCTAATGACCATGGCAAGAAAGAGGTAGGGGTCAAAGGCGAGGCTAGAATGTTCAGCCTGGAAGAGAAGAAAAAGGAGGATCCTAGGGTTGACAGAGTTAAGTTGAGGGAACACCTGATTTGAAGTACAGAGTGGAGAGTGGATGATAAGTTAAATTTTAGGCAGGTTGCAAGTGGAGTGACAGCAAGACATTAGCAATGTCTATTCTTCCACGGCATTTAGAAACACAAAAAAGGAGTCTGAGCAAGAAAAAGAGACTGAAGATACAGGTGTGAGGCAGAGGGTGGGGATACAAGTGAAGCTCCTTGCTGCCCATCCACTTCCTTCCTTCTGGTTCAAGACCCTGCCTCTGGGGAACGCATGGGTATGTAAGTGTGACACGTGTAACACAGAGATGAGTAAAGAACAGGCTCCTTCCAGGAGGGTACAGACACCAGGAAGGGATCATATGCACTACCCCTTCCTATGAGTCGATACCTTGGATGGAAAGCTCAGCTGACATGGAGGCCTTCCCTGACCCGTTCACCACCATGCACGTGTACACCCCCAAATCGTCTTGGTTGACCTCATGGATTTCCAGAACTTGCATCCCATTCTTCTCAGACATGGACACACGGGCACTTGGCTGCAGGGGAACATCTCCCTGTGGATGGCGATAGAGTAGCTCGGTCAGAGAAACCTGCTCACTTGTTGGCACTGCCCTCCAACCTCCTGCCCATTTGGTGGGACAGACACCAGGCATGGGCAGCCTCTGTTCTGGGCTTTGTCAACATGCTTAGAGAGCAGTGTTTGTTCCTGTTTTTTTTTTTTAATTTATTTTTCAATGACAGTTGACATGCAATATTATATTAGTTTCAGGTGTACAGCATAGTGACATTTATAGCATAGACATTTATACGCCTTATAAAGTGATCACCCTGGTTAGTCTGGCATTACACATAGTTATTACAATACTATAGACTATATTCCCTATGCTGTACAAGAGCAGTCTTTGGACAGTCCAAGGGCCCCGACTCGGGGTCTATGCATATGTTGTGATGTTTGGTCCCCTTTAGAGTAGATGTATGGAACCCTAGTTTGAGGTGGAAAACCCTATATTCTTCGCTCAGTTCTCCTTTGCCTCCTTCTTCCTTTTATTATTTTCCCAGAGTCCGTTTAGGAGAATTAGGAAATAGGTAAAACATGTTTCATCACCCATTTTAATCCAGGAGTTCCATCCGTGGAAAACCTGCTCTCCCTGGCCTTGACCCCAAGTGTTCCCCATGGCTCCTCAGTGCCCTATTTAACATGCACCCCTCCTCTCTCCTCCACTTCCTCCTCCACCACCTCCTCCTCCACCTCTGTCTTCACATTGCTGGGCCCTGAAGGATTTATAAAGCGCTTCCACAAGGAACCTCCCAACAGTATTTTGAGATAAGTGGGATTATCTCCGCCTAATAGATATAGAAACCAGGGTTCCAAGAGATCAAATGACTCGCTCAGTATCACATGCTTTGTGAACCAGGGAGCATGGCTTGAAACCTAGTCCCATGACTTCAAATTCCACTCTCTTGAGATGGTCAGGTCTGTCTTGACTCAGAAGTTTTATGCTGCTTTGTAAGTATGTGGATTATAGGACATGGTGGACTGAGTAATAGAGGGAGAGTGTGCAAACAGGGGCAAGAAAAACATGGCTATCAAAAATACAGGAAACCCTGTATGAATGAATTAAAAGAGATTGACCGGAAAGACCAACTCCCACCAGTCAAAGGGTCTAACCCCAAACTTTCAGGTCTCCAGGCCTGGACCAGAGTCAGGGCAGACAAAACCTTACCTTGAGCCAGGTGACCTGTGGTTGGGGCCGGCCAGTGATCTTGCAGGAGAATCGTCCCATCTGTCCTTCTTTGACCACAGCTCGACCCAGCTTGGTAGCAAACTTTGGGGGGCACTCTCCCCAGATGCTAGGACGGGTCTCCACTGCAGGGGATAAGAATCTTTCCCTGGAGAGAAATCATCATTGAATCCAGCAGCAACTCAGCTCCTCATCTCTCTGCCCCCACCCAAGTTACTTAAGTTGGGATCAAACACCAGCAAAGGGTAGCCTTCCCAGCTCTATGCCTCAAACACACCTCTGAGGCACCCTCTAGAAAAAGCTGTTTCCTCTACCTCCTAGGCATGTAGCTAGAATTCATTTACTAGCCTCCCTTGAAGTAAGGTATACCTGAATCCTACTGAGCTCTGGCCAAAAGCCTGGGTTTTGGCCCAAAGACTGTGAACAGAAGTATTTTATCCCACTTTTGGGCTGGGCCCATAAAACTTCCTGTGAGATTCTTCACAGTCTCTCTTGCCTACTCTTCTGGCTAGATGCAGATGGTCCAGCAGAGGCTCCAAGGCCTAGGAGATGATAGTGCCACAAAATAGAAGGAGCTCGGCTGGGTCCCTGAAAGATAATGGGAAGGTTCTCCACCTGTTAAAGAATATCTAAAATGACTGCTTGAGTAAGAAATAAACTTTTCCTGTGTTAAGCCATTGTATTAGGGGGCTTGTTTGTTATAGCAGCTACTGTTACTTACCCTTACAATACAGGTTACTTTCCATAAGAAGTGTCACATATTGATTGCCTCTTTTAAATCTGCTTATTTAAGTCTTCTGACTATTGCCTTGACTGCTAGACATCTCTGCAGACTATAGCTACATAGCCTCCTTCCTCAGCATTTAGAAGCTGGGTCAGTCAAGGGGCTAGCCACAGAGGCCACCAGGTCAGGATGCACTATGTGAATGACATAACACATCCCAAAAGGTTTCTGCTTTAGCTATCATAAACCAGGATGCCCAAGGAGACTTGCTCTCTAGACCTATTCTGTCGAGTCAGCGGGAAAAGCCAATCTAGCCCTTACTCTGGCTTGAACATTAAAGAACTTACCCCAAGGTTTTGGAAACAGGTTGACCATGCTTCTTCACAAAGCCCCCTACAAGTAGAAAACAGAGAGAAAGAGGCTTGAAGGGTTGGGTCTGAGCCACCAATGTGGAGCCATAAAAGTCCGAGAGAGTCTACAACAAGGGTAGGTGGGATAATGATGGAAACAGTAAACCCTGACTGAGCCAGTTTGGGGGTCAGGCACTATGGTGGGCACTTTACACACATCATAGGATGATTTCCTGCAATAATTTAAGGAAGCTGGTACTACATTATCCTTCTATATTTTAAACAGATGAGAAAAATGAGATTCT